TCAAACTATCTCAATGCAGTTGATTCCTCTATTAATTACTTGAACTGATGAAGTAATCGAATTTTTGGACTCGTCCGTGTTTTTCTAAACAAAAAGCGGGGAAAACGAAAGTTGTTGGTAGGTGGTGTGAAAATAAAAGAAAATTCTTTCGATGCCATATATTACCGTATGCAAATCAGGTGTTGTGAAGGAGGTTACATACCTGTATATCCGATTAACGTTTATTGAAATTCTATCACTATCAGTTTGCCCGAATTATTCACCACAAACGACAACGTCCTACAAATATCACGGATAATTTCCCTACTAGGCTTGAAGAACGTATCCGAGTTTTTAATTACTTAAATTTTTCTGCCTTCAAAGTGAATTACTCTCGACCAATTTTCTTTCCCACACCTATCTAACCATAAGATTGCTTTAACAATTTCTGGCACTTGCTTGAACACACAGTGACAAACGAAGAGCACTATATGGGCTTTTATGTTTTTCCGAAACATAGTTTTTTAAGTATTCGACAAGAATTGACATGAATGGTTAGAGGTAGTTTTGTATAACGTTGTTTTGGACAGCGATGGAGGCTATGAATTGGCGAGGTTTCGTGGGACCGGTTACTCTCGGTTAGAGCGATGCACTGCCAATACAACTACGAACTGTATGTGTTCGTTTGTTCGTTCGTCGTTCGTTCATCTCCAGGCAACCCAGACCTCATCGACCCTGTCACTTACGCTCGCATAACAATTGCAAATCCTTCTGAACTCGTTCGAGTACATGTATTTGTAACCAGCGCGGTTGTTGTCATTTGTCATGTTACGTTATTCCTCCAAGGTGATCGCATTCCGCAGACGTCGAACGAGAGTTTTGAGATGCTTTTTGCCACCACCTAGACATTGTTTTCGTTTTTGAAGTTTGTTCTTCTATTCGATCGATGGTTGCGTGTTTACGCGCATGATTCATGGACATTCGATTCCTTTTTTATTCTTCTTCTTGGCTCGAATGGACCTGTCGCCGGAAGTTATTGAGCACAGCATTGGAATCACCCTTCAATTCCTTACTTTCTGCTCCGTGTTGCGTCGTTTCTTCAATACCTAATCAAGTAATGAAAACGCATATTTTTTTCGTATACTCCAGCTTCATACGTCGCGCATGACTCGGAGTTCAATTACTTATGCTACTTGCGAAACCAGCCCTTGCTACGAACTACATTGAATTTCGCATGTGTCCACGAGCTTTAGAAGAACTTATTCACCGTTTTTCGCTTGTTATCACAAACTCTCATTTCATTTTGTCGAATTCCAACTATTTCCTATAGATCTACTCACAAAAAAAACTAATTTGCTTGCCATTGTTGCCCAGTGCTCTCCTTGGCTACTAGCAACATAAAAGCTCTCACAATTATTTTGCTAAGTTTTTGAACTCATTCGATCTTTCAAAATGTAGAAGGTCATAAGGGCATCTGGATCTTATTTTCATCTTAAACATTGGGCTTGTGATTACTCTTTGTAGAAACAACAAGAGCAAGATAGCATGTCA